TCGACTATCCGACCAACGACCATCCACATTACGGAATATGGTTTGGGAATAGACAACCTAGGAAATTTGCAATCAATTTAAAAGAGGTTTTTTGAATCAAACACAATTCTAAAAATACTTTTTGTTTGGCGTTCACTAAGCTATTTTTCCTAGTTTTTTACTTAGCCAATCAAAGTGCATCCTGACTTACTTCAGACCAATTTTAGGAAACAACACTTAAGACCACATTTTTCTTCGCGTAACACTGAGTTTAGCACAAATGACCTTCACAAAGCATACCGGTTGTCCTCCCTGTAATGGAGGAGGTTCGTTCCACATGTGTACGCCACTATCCTCAGACATTCCGCTGGTCCGTGCTGGGGAATTTCGAACCAATTCCGAACAATATTGAGATGATGATGAATGCCTCATATAGGGACTACGAGAGAAGGCTAAATGAATACGGTAAAATATCGTAATCTGTTGTACGTGACAGTAATTCTTACGGCTGTGATGGCCTCGACTGGGTGATTCACGTAGGGCACTGTCACGACGTCGCATACCAGCAGAACTGCGAGATGAAGATTGTCGGGAGAATGTGGCTGAGTTGGATGATGGGAAACCAGATGAGCTATAATGATAAAGGTAAACAACTGTTTCTAAAAATTGTGATGCCCTCCCAGCTAGATGACTCTTGGTAAGACTCAGCTTACTACCAGACAACAAAGAAAGTGCTGGAAAAAAAGATAACTTAAAAATTCAGAGATTATGCAAAAATTTGTCCATCCGACTGAGCTAGTTGCCCGTATTAGGTGAGGCTACGAGTTTTCAAAAGCAGTTCGACCCACCTACTGGCCTGACTGCATCTATAAGGGGAACCACGATGGTACTCAGGCAGTTCTTCCTCACTCGACGATACCTCCATACCATAAGAGTGCGGATCGACAGCGGTACAATAAATACTGTAATGGCTGTGGTTACGGTAATCGATTAAATGATGGTAAAAGATACCGTACTCTTGCTCTGATCCTCTGATAGTTCGAGGGCCCGCACGAACGATGGTAGGTCGACTAGTGCTAGCATACAAATACGGATAACGTTGCTGTTCATCTAACATCCGGAGTCGATGTTCCAGTTCCTGAATTTAATGAATGATACTTTAAAGAATCATAATCGAATAATTTTAAAACCTACCCTTTCTTTTAACAGTAGTTCGTTCATACAATCAGTAAGCTTTGAATACATTTTGTTGGTTCGTTTCAACTTATTCTCATACATTT